GCGATCAGTGTAATTCGCTCCGGACCAAATGCGACGGACAACACCCATGCGCACATTGCATAGGTAAGCTCTTCTGTCTTCGTAGATTGGACCCGCCCCGCTTTGAAGTCCCCCGGTGAGTTATCAGGCTGACTGACGGCGGCGCAGAATTCGGGTTGACCTGTGAGTACGCTCGGGAACGTAAGAAACGAGGGAAAGCTTCGAAAAAGGATCTGGCCGCTGCGGCTGCAGCGACCCAGCTGGGCAACGGCCAATCGGCCCCCGAAAATGGTGCACTGGTCGGGGAGCATACGCCCCCGGATCGGCGACGATCGTCTCAGGAGGTTAACGGGCGATTTGACGGGGCTTTCGACGCAGCTCAACATCTGAATCCTCCGTCACGACAGGTGCGGAATTCTAACGCTCCGGGTATGTCTGCGGTTGAGGATGCGCATTCAGCTCCGCCACATTCGCAGCCATCCTTGAGGGCCGCCATCGATGTCATGCACATGAACCATTTCAGTTCGTTGAACAACGAGTCGAATCGTGCTCCCATGCCCGTCGCCGATCTTCGATCCTTACCGACCTCGATTCTATCGTCGCATGGGTTAAGTTCGGGGTTTGGTGAAAATGCATTTGCGATGGTGAACGCTCAAGAACCTAATGCTGCCGCTTTAAATCACTTTCGAATTGGAAATTCGGCCGAGAACCCCACGGCTCCGTTCTTAGGACTATCGCCTCCTGCACAGTCTCCAGGCTGGCTGCCTCTGCCCTCACCATCTCCCGCCAACTTCCCGTCCTTTAGTCTACCATCATATTCGAGCACGTTACGATACCCCGTGTTGCAGCCGGTGCTGCCTCACATCGCGTCCATCATTCCGCAATCCCTCGCCTGTGATCTTCTTGATGTCTACTTCACCAGCTCATCCTCTTCCCACCTTTCGCCGTTGTCCCCGTATGTGGTGGGGTACATCTTCCGGAAGCAGTCCTTCCTCCATCCTACAAAACCACGAGTGTGTAGCCCTGGTCTGCTGGCCAGCATGCTCTGGGTCGCCGCGCAGACGAGTGAGGCTGCGTTCCTGACTTCTCCGCCGTCTGCTCGCGGGCGTGTCTGTCAAAAGCTACTGGAACTGACCACTGGCTTACTCCGACCACTGATTCATGGACCGGCAACCGGAGAAACATCGCCCAATTATGCAGCCAATATGGTCATTAATGGTGTCGCCCTCGGTGGGTTTGGAGTCTCGATGGATCAGTTAGGTGCGCAGAGTAGCGCAACCGGTGCCGTGGATGATGTGGCTACATATGTGCATCTAGCCACGGTCGTTTCAGCAAGTGAGTACAAGGCCGCCAGTATGCGTTGGTGGACTGCAGCATGGTCTCTGGCGCGCGAGTTGAAGCTCGGTCGGGAGCTGCCGCCCAACACTTCCCACACACGACCAGACGGCGAGCGCGAGGGCGACACTGAAGGAGATCCTTCGAAACGGCACTCGACGTCGTTAATGGCATCTATGGGACTGGGACCTGGCAGTACAAACATTAATGTGACAGAGGAGGAACGAGAAGAACGCCGGCGCCTGTGGTGGCTCCTGTACGCGACGGACCGTCATCTGGCTCTCTGCTATAACCGGCCATTGACGCTGCTCGATAAAGAGTGTGGGCGTCTATTGCAACCCATGAATGACGATCTTTGGCAAGCGGGCGATTTCTCCACCGCCAGCTATCGCCAGGTTGGCCCTCCCCTCGAGTGCACCGGCCACAGCATGTTCGGGTATTTCTTGCCGCTGATGACTATCCTTGGCGAGATCGTTGACCTCCATCATGCCCGAAGCCATCCACGTTTTGGTATTGCGTTTCGAAATAGCACTGAATGGGAGCACCAGGTGCTGGAGATCTCTCATCAATTAGACACCTACGCACAAAGCTTGAAAGAGTTTGAGGCGCGCTACACCAATAGCCTGACCCTGGCGAACGCGGAGAATGAGCAGGTCGCAGAGGGCGCTCATTTGGATCATCTCAGTCCGTCGGGTCGCTCCAGCAGTACGGTCGGTTCCCGGGTGAACGAGTCCATTGTGCACACGAAGATGGTTGTCGCTTATGGTACCCACATCATGCATGTTCTGCACATTCTCTTGGCGGGCAAATGGGATCCGGTCAACCTGTTGGAGGATCACGATCTGTGGATCTCCACCGAGGCTTTCGTTTCTGCGATGAGCCACGCCGTTGGCGCCGCCGAAGCGGCAGCAGAAATACTCGAATTTGACCCGGATCTCAGCTTCATGCCCTTCTTTTTCGGAATTTATTTGCTGCAGGGTAGCTTCTTGCTCCTCTTGGCAGCCGACAAGCTGCAAGGTGACGCCAGTCCGAGTGTTGTCCGGGCTTGCGAGACGATTGTTCGCGCACACGAGGCTTGCGTTGTCACCCTAAATACTGAGTATCAGGTATGCATTGCTACCGACCCTCCCATATCTTCTAAGCTAATATACCTTTACTTTCAGCGAACCTTCCGCAAGGTCATGCGCTCGGCTCTGGCGCAGGTGCGAGGTCGGATCCCCGAGGACTTTGGTGAACAGCAACAGCGTCGCCGGGAGGTGTTGGCGCTGTACAGATGGAGTGGCGATGGCAGTGGTCTTGCCCTTTAGGGAAGGCTGGTGTCGCATTGATTCTTATTGCATATTGCCGTATATTCTCACTATACCCATGCAAGCGATTGACATGATGTGATGTGAATTCGTCCACGATTTGTGGGATGATTTCGAGGAGTTTAGGAAGGGGAGCAAATTATCCTTGGGTCCGGGTTTGATATCCCTGAGTTCTTGTTTCTGTTTCTGTGGTAAATACTTCTTTTCTTGTGGTGTGGGGTGGCGTGGTGTCCGTGGCTGGCTGGCTTTGTGTACAGTACATGATGTCAGAGCCTTGTGGTGGATATAGCCATTGTCTTGTCATATATAATCCGTATATAACTATTGATGCTCCGATGTTTATGTTTATGGCGGTAACGGTTGCACAGTACTCTAATATGGCTATGTTGTTCACATATCAAGGTGAACCGAGGTACAGTAGGGGGTCCACCCTTGTATACTAATCATCATCTATTCATATACGAATAGAGTAAGAGTGTGGAAATCAGGGTTCATCTATGTTTAAGGACTTAACCAGCATCCGAATGATTATAGGTCGATACGAGTCGGTACTCAGCTTCGGAGTAGACTTCGGAGTATATCTATTATGTATCTTCTTATCAGAAACTAATCTTGCGAGAGAGTGGGGTCTCACTGTGGATTGTGGACGTCACTTGACTGATAGCCCAGCCGCGGAGGTGAAATACGGAATAAAAAAGAGCTCCCTCCTTCAGCCCTCCGCCTCAGCCTCACTCACCGAGCTCCCCTGCTTCCGCTTCCTTCCCCACCGGCCCACGAAACCTCATGATTCTGCGACAATGAAGCCCGTCATCGCTGTTCCTGCTATTGCAGGCCTTCTCTATCGCGCCTGGTCACACAAGACCCTCACCACTCTGGGTTTGGTCGCAGCTGGGCTGACAGCTTCAGCTCACGCCCTCCACCCATGGTCGACCCCATTTATTTTCCTGGCTGTTTTCTACCTCGGTGGTAGCCGAGTTACCAAGGTGATTCTGATTGCATAAGACCTATTGAGGCCCTGCTGATCGATCTCATTGACATAGGTCAAACACGACATCAAATCCCGCTTGACCCTCTCCGCGACCGGCTCCGAGGGCGGCGAAGGCCCTCGCACCCACGTCCAAGTCCTCGCCAACACCATCGTCGCCTCGGTGCTCATCCTCGCCCATACCTACGTCCTTGCGAAGCGGTCCCCCGCCGGAGATAATGCAGGTCAATGCTTCTCGAACGGTCACGATGTAGCGGACGTGTTGATGATCGGGATCGTCGCGTAAAGGGCCCCCCCTCCTCCCCTTCCCCTTACCTGGATCAAAGACCTTCCCTGGACCCCCATATCCCTCCTTCCCCCCCCCCCCAAAGCGTATGCTAACGACCATGCACATCCAGGAACTACGCCGCCGTCGCCGCCGACACCTTCTCCTCCGAGCTCGGGATCCTCTCCACCTCGAAACCGCGCCTGATCACTTCGCCTACGTTCCGCGTCGTGCCCCCCGGCACCAACGGCGGGGTCACCGGCACCGGCCTCTTGGCGGGCATGTTCGGCGCGTTCACCATCGCGCTATCGTCGGCGGCGTTCTTGCCGTTCTGCGACGGCGCCCGGGGCAGTCTCAGTGCCGTGGAGACGTTGAAGAGTCGCGCGGGGTGGGTTGCGGCTGTCACCGTTTGGGGCACCCTGGGCAGCGTGCTGGATAGTGTCCTCGGCGGCTTATTCCAGGCGAGTGTGGTCGATAAGCGGACGGGGAAGATCGTGGAGGGCTCCGGCGGGAAGAAGGTCCTTCTTCATCCTTCGTCCACGAAAGCTGGTGTTTCTGCGAACGCGACGGGTCTTACGCCGGCGCATGGGGTTAGTAGTGGTAGCAGCAGCGCGACGCAGCTGCGGGCGACAGAGGATGTTGCTAATGCTGCGGCCGCCGCAACGCTTAGAGGGAGCCGGGCGAGAAAGACGTCCGTCGGGTCGTCTTCGGCGGGAGAGACGACGACCGATGAAGGACATGAGAGTCGGCGGGTGGAGAGCGGGCATGATGTCTTGGATAATAATGCGGTGAATGTGTTGATGGCGCTGATTATGAGTGTGGGAGCCATGGGGGTGGCGCGTTGGGTTTGGGGGGTGGATGTTATGGATTTGGCGAGATGGTAGTTTTCTTTTGGGGGTGGGGTTTAATGTGACATGGTAATTTATGGATTGCTTCTTATGCTGTCTATGGTGATATGAGTCTTTGCTGATTTGGGTACAGTATATATTCATTTCTCTCGGTTGTTTGGGTTGGATTGATGATAGCAGGCAAGGTTAAGGTTAAGTCAGTGGGTTTGAGTTCCAAGTTATCGCAGGCTAGACCCGAAATCTAATTGTCGGTCACTAATGGAAGGAAAGGGTGTTTCTTCCTACATGATGACACAAGTATTGTTCATCCTCTTCTCTGCTGCCCACGCTGCCCACGCTGCCCGGTTTTTCTTTTTGATCGCTTCGCGGTATTTCTGCCCCTCCCGGTCCAGGTAACTCATGGTGACGCCCTTGTCCTGCACATACTCGTTGAACGCCTTCCAGCTTTCCTCCGACATCAGGATCTCGTTGCGCTGCTCGGGGAAGATGTTGGTCGGGCGCGTCCGTGGCGCCATGCCCTGCGGATACATCTCGAATGTGAAGTGTTTCTGACTGCGGTGCAGCTGCAGTCCGTCTGAGTCGAACTCTCCCGCGACGAATGGCAGGCGGGACTTAGGGGTTAGGATTCTTCGCTGATTGTCATTACTGGTCTCATCGGGTGTTGCTTCGCTGCGTGGCCGGTCCTCCTCCTTCCTTGTGTGCTGGGCGAAGTGGAAGTTCGCGGATACAAGACTAGCATTCTCCGGCGAATACCCATAGAAGGCCTGAGCTCGATCGCGATCCTGCTCCGATTCCCGGATCTGCTCCCGTTCGTCATCGGCCTCATAAGGCATAGCTTCACCGGGTGGCTCTCCCTCCTCCAGTTCCCCCCATGCGTGCTCCGTGTCCTGAAGATGGGGGAAGTGAAAGTCCCCAGAAACAGGACTGGTCGACTGCGGCGAATACCCATACAAGCCCTGCGCTCGATCGCGAACCTGCTCCGATTCCCCGATCTGCTGCCGTTCTTCCTCGGTCAGCCCGGGCCTGGACACCCGCAGGTACCACGTGATGGTCTCACCCTCCGGCGCGTCCAGGATCCCCTCGCGACACGCCTGAAAGCACTGCTGCGCCTCGTGGTAGTTCTCACGAGAGTACTCCACCCGGCCCTGCCAGTACTGGCACCGCGCCAGGCACACCGGGTTGCCGAGCCGCTGGGCGATGCCGACGGCCTCGAGGACGAAGTGCTCGGCCTCGCGGTCCTGGCCCTCCTCGAGGAAGGTGATCGCCCGGTGCAGGGCCAGGGTGACCTCCCACCGGTCCAGCTTCTCGTCGAGCCCGGCCAGCAGCGGCTCGATCGGGGCCTCCGCCCGTCGCCGTTCCAGGTGCGCCTCCAGCGCCGCTCGCGCCTCGGCCTTCTTCCGGCGCCGCGCCGCCCGCCGCGCCGCCGCCTTCTCCTGGGCCTCCACCTGCGTCGGCGACGGCGTGGACGCGCGGTCCAGGAACTCCGTCCCCACGTACCAGTACCCTTCGTCCGGGTCGTACTCCTTCCACGAGGTGTCGCCCTCGTCCAGCGGCGGCAGCGACTCCGGGTTGTACTCCGAGGCCAGGTCGGAGGCGTTGCCGCCGTTCTCCTCGTCTGATGAGTAGTCCTTGAATTGGTACTCGTCGGGGTCACAGTGGCCGTCCGCTTCGTCCTCGGAGGAGGATTCGCCGAAGAAGTGGCGCTTGATGGGCGGTAGGGGGTTCATTTTTTTTTGTTGTTGCTGGTTATGTGTGTGGTGAAAGGTGCTATGGGTTGAACTTTGGTTTTGGGGATCGTAGAAGATGTCTAGGGGCTTATATGTTTATAAATGTGCGGGTGCCCCTGGGCTTGATGGTGAATGGGCTCTTTCATGGTACTCGCTGGCGGACAAAGCGCCGTGGGACAAAGAAATTGTGTCTCTGTTTGGTGAGGCGTGACTCCAAGCCATTCTGCGGTTTCCCGAGGCATCAAGGCGACGTGTCGCAGCTTGACAGTTTACTCGGGACTCCAGGGTCTTCACCCAACATACGGGAGAGATCTGGTGGAGAGAGCTAAAATGACCTGGACCATGATCATCCTGGCAGCTGCAGCGCAGCAAGGATCTGGGTAGCCCTAATCTTATCACATCTGTTGTTCGGCTTTTCCTGGTACTGTACCAGTTGTGGTGATCATCTGACAGTGCAACCACAGGCAGGCATCGAGTTGCTGGACTTGGCGCATCTGGCGGACCATTTTGCTGTTTCTGAAGGCTTCCAGCAACACGAATGGATTATGAATCAAAGGAACCTTGCCGTGAGTCAGATTGGACCCCAGCCTTGGTAAGCAGAGACATGGATCTCTGTTAGTGTAAGAAGAAGAGCAACAATGAACTGCCGTTAGTCGAGTATGTCAGAGACTCAGAGCTGAAGACAAAACATCCAAACGCAGCAAACAGGTGGAGATCTCCACCCCGGAGTGGGGAGTGGGGCCGATACGACCCTGGCCAAACAAACAGTGCAACAGTGCAACAGTGCAAACACCACAAAGCAAAGCACAGAGTAATGCAAACACAACGTCATGACCCTCTCATGCACTCCTCGATCCATCCACTCACTTCCACACCCTCTCTCGTTCTCTCGTTCTCGCCCAACTTTATTGTCAGATTGTCAGACTCGTTGGAAATCGCACCCGCATGTCTGCGTCACTGCCGTCATTTCTCACAGCTCCATTGGATCATTCCACCACTCAGCGGGGAGTTCGGAGAACAAAAACAAAAAAAAACACGATGGATGGACCGACCTACAGTACGGAGTACCTCCAAGGAATTCCCTTCCTTGCATGGTGGGGTTCCTTGTAAAAATAACCCATCAACTTCCCCTCCTTTCAGCCGTGGTCTGACTGCCATCGAGCAATAGTCGAGAGTCTCATCATCCATGGCTGACCGATAAGATCCATGCCCCGGTGGGCTGTTTGCATTCAACTCCTCGGTTTCCACAAATGTCCAGGGACATACTCTACTCCTCATACAAGGCACCGTGCCCCCTCTCTTTCCCCCCACCAGCAGAAGGCTACTACTTATGCAGGTGGTCTTGCCTTTCCTGTTTATTTACACCTCGTTCAGATCTTCTCGGTGCTGCAAGGGCCGACTGACTTGACTGACTGACTTGCATTTCACCCCTCCTCTCCTCATTTTACCCCTCTTTCCTCCATACATACTCCCCTTCGCACCCGACGTGCATCCGCATATATACAACAACATTCTTAGGCGCACACACTACATTGCCCTCTCTTTGTTCTCTCTCCCTACCTCTTTCTCTGTCTCTATCTTGCTCTCTCAGACCTAATATAGAGTGCGCCTTTTGGCTAGTCCCAAAATTTTGGTGTTTGGACGGGGATATACTTATCCTCCTGAACTTTCCTTCTTCCCCCCTTCCAAAGGACCTCGGTATATTTATAAAATAGACTTCAAGCCACACGGCCCTGCAACCATGTCTCCGTTAACTTGTCCGACCAAGAGTGTCGACATTGTGGCCATCCACCAACATGAACTCGAGTTCTCCCTGGTGAACGAGATCCAGCGAGGAATCTCTCCTCCGGCTGGCACCAGTCGCTCAATGCCCACCATGCTGCTGTATAATGACCAAGGCCTGAAGCTCTTCGAGGAGATCACTTACCTCGAGGAGTACTATCTAACCAACGCGGAGATTGAGGTGCTACGCACGCACGCCAAGCGGATCGTGGAGCGCATCCCGGACAATGCGCAGTTACTGGAGCTAGGAAGTGGGTATGTGCTGCTTGCTATCTTTTCTCCTACCACCCCAAGAATCCGAACAACGGAAGCTAAAATGAAATTGAACTGTATAGAAACCTTCGCAAAGTTGAGATCCTGCTCCGCGAGTTTGAGTCAGCCGGCAAGCGCGTCGATTACTATGCCCTCGATCTGTCCCTTCCCGAGCTTCAACGCACCTTTTCCGAAATCTCGATCGACGACTTCACGCACGTCGAGTTCCACGGCCTGCATGGCACGTACGACGACGCTATGGCTTGGCTGGATAGACCTGAGAACCGCAAGCTGCCGACGGTGATCATGTCCATGGGCTCGTCGATTGGAAACTTTGACCGGCCGTCGGCGGCGAGCTTCCTGGGGCAATTCGCTCGGCTCTTGGGCCCGGACGATCTGATGATTATTGGACTGGACGCTTGCAGTGATCCGGACAAGGTGTTCCGGGCTTATAATGACTCCAAGGGCATCACACGGCAGTTCTATGAGAATGGGCTCGTTCATGCCAATGCTGTGCTGGGGTATGAGGCGTTCAAGCTGGAAGACTGGGATGTTGTTACGGATTATGATATTGCGGAAGGGACACATCGGGCGTTCTATGCGCCGAAGCATGACGTGACCATTAATGGAACGGTGATCAAGAAGGGCGAGAAGCTGATCTTTGAAGAGGCGTACAAGTATAGTGCTACGCAGCGGGAACAATTGTGGCATGATGCTGGGTTGATCCATAAGGTGGAGTATGAGAATGAGGCCGGGGAGTATCGTATGTTTCACTCCTCAACTTCCTTTTCACTCCATGCGCGCAGCGCTCTGGGGTCACCGTGGCGTGTTGCCTGCAACGGCCGAAGCTGACTCGAGTGTCTACAGATCTTCATATCCTGTCTTCAGCAGTTTTGAATTATCCGTCGAAACCTTCACAGTATGCAGCAGGTGCCGTTCCGACATATGAAGAGTTCCGGAAGCTTTGGACGGCGTGGGACATCGTCACTAGGTCGATGGTGCCTCGCGAGGAGCTGCTTTCCAAGCCGATCAAACTGCGCAACGCCTTGATATTCTATTTTGGTCATATCCCTACATTCTTAGGTAAAGTGCTTGACTCCTAGGTTGACTTCAACTGTACTAAGCCCAGACAGATATCCACCTCACTCGAGCGCTGGGCGATGAGCCGACTCATCCCAAGTCATACCAGATGATTTTTGAACGTGGCATTGACCCCGACGTGGACAACCCTGAACAGTGCCATTCGCACAGCGAGATTCCAGATGAATGGCCGCCGCTCAACGAGATTTTGGATTACCAAGAACGAGTTCGCAGTCGCGTTCGGTCCGTCTACCAGAAGAACGACCTGGCCCAGGATCGCACGCTGGGGGAAGCTCTTTGGATCGGTTTCGAGCATGAAGCCATGCACCTAGAGACCTTTCTCTACATGCTCGTTCAGAGTGAGCGGATAAATCCCCCTCCTGCTGTCCCCAGGCCGGACTTCGAAAAGATATTCCAAGACGCCCGAGAGCGCGAGAGGTCGAACGACTGGTTCACCATTCCAGAACAGACCCTTTCCATAGGACTTGACGATGACGGGGCATCGGTGCCTAGTGTATCCTACGCATGGGACAACGAAAAGCCGGCGAGGGTCATCTCGGTCCAGGCATTCCAGGCACAGGGTCGACCCATCACGAATGGCGAATATGCTAGATATCTCCAAGCGAATAGCTTGGACCAAAAACCAGAGTCGTGGGTTTGGACCCATCCCAAGGGGTCGTCTGGTGTCGTGCATGGTGGACAGAGTAACGGCCACGCTACGAAGGAGTACCTGGCGAGCTTTGCAGTTCGTACGGTGTTTGGGCCGGTGCCGTTGCAGTATGCGCAGGATTGGCCGGTCATTGCGTCTTACGATGAGCTGGCACAATATGCGCAATGGATGGGCTGTCGACTTCCAACCTACGAGGAAGTGAAGAGTATCTATGCCCACGCGGCTCGATTGAATGGCAAACAGGACTTGCCTAATGGGTATAGGTCGGTCACCTGGTTCGTGGCTTTTAAGTCAGCAAGGCTAATGATCAACAGTCACAGCGAGACGAACGGTGTGAACGGACACGGACACGGCGTGGTCCCCACTAAGTTGAATCGTTTTGCGAAGGCGTCGCATGAGTCGCGGCCGGTGTTTGTGGACCTCGACGACTGCAACGTCGGGTTCAAGCACTGGCACCCTACCCCGGTCATCCAGCACGGCGATCGCCTTGCCGGGCACGGAGAGCTCGGCGGGGTCTGGGAATGGACGAGCTCGACTCTGGAGCGACATGAAGGGTTTGAGGCGATGAAGATCTACCCGGGGTATACCTGTACGTTCTACCCCAAGAGTACCATGTTACGTGTTGAGACAATTGCTAAGGCGTGACGAAAGCCGACTTCTTCGATGGCAAGCACAATATCATTCTTGGCGGGTCCTGGGCTACTCACCCCAGGATTGCGGGGCGGACGACATTGTAAGTTTTGTTTTTCTTGTTAGTCTTGGGTCGTTTTGGGAGACATTTGCTAATTCCGATCTGGGAGCAGTGTCAATTGGTATCAGCGGAATTATCCTTATCCTTGGGCGGGGGCGCGGTTGGTGCGGGATCTTCGATGATGAGGGAGGTCACAAAGTGTGAAAGTGGATGGGGTTGTGTGCTTGTAATGGAGTGGTATGGTTAGGTTTCCAACAACACTGGATGAGGGATGGGGTGTGAGGCCCGGTGATTCTTTTCAAAGTGTGTCTGCTCTGGCCGAGTTTCTGGATGCTGCGGGCGTAGTACTGTACCATCTGAGGGTATCACGGCTGCCGTAGATGGTGTCGTTCGAGATTGAGGAGGGCATACATCATGGATGAATGCGTAGACCGGTTTACTGCCGAGAAGTGCAGTACAGTACTCTACTTGCATACTTTCACTTGTTGAGGACCAGAACGCACAATGATGAAGATAGTTACCGAGTAGGGTTTTGCGTTAGTACTGTACTGTCGGTAGGATCCAGGTGTCGTAGTACTGTACAAAGTCCAGGCTACCTTTATTTCAGAACTTGATCCAGTTCAACAGATAATCAGCCGCGCGGTGGAGACCGACCATTCCCCCTCCCTGCGTTTGACAAATCAACGAGGATCAAATCACTTTTCTGCTAGCAGATAAGACACACAGGCAGGCCGACAGTCTCTGGAGATATTTCATCATTGCTTTCGAATCCATTTTCTCGACGCCATGTTGGACGCACTGTGAACCCTTTCCAATCTCTGCTGGGTAGAATCGGTACTGTTTGAGGTGGCGACTTGGCTATTGAAGGTTGAGTTGTTTTGATCGCGCTGGCATGGGTCAGTGAGTTAGTTGGTCGGGGAATGGGGGTGAAGCTATTCTATTCCGGTTGGCGGTTGGCGGTTCGATCTTAGCTGGCTGGGAAAACTTGGTGGAAAGCTCTCCTCATTCTCTTTGGGATTGGGATTGAAGCTGGGAGGAGTAGTCACTTAGACTTAGTGGCAGTGGTAGTGTAGTGGCTTAGAGAGGGCTGTGGGGGAGGATTTCACTAGTCATATGACATAACTAACTTACTATCAGTACTGTACAGGACAGACAGTTTCTGTATGAGGGATGATGAGATGGTAGAAGCAGCGGGAGAGGAGTCTACGTACGGAGTAGTCTAGGGCTGAATTGTTAATTTTTTTTTCCCCTCGGTTGGACTAATCATATTGGTGATGGGTTCAGATGTCATTACTATTCATATCAAGCGGGAGACTTGGGTTATTATATTATAAGGTAGGTAGGTGGTAAGGCAGGTAGATAGGTAGGTAGGTAGGTAGGCCTCCCTTTTTTTTGTCCCGTTCCACGTCCACGAATCTCGCCAGTACTTGTGTACTGTACCTTATCTGGGTAGTTAGTGAAAGGGGGAGCGAGGGAGAGTATCATAGCACTGATTTTCTAGTCTTGTATGTGTTGTGTTGCTCAAGAATGCTCATGGAAAGGACTCCGTAGGTCCCGTTGTGAATGCTAGAGGGGGGAAGTCGCTGTAGTCTTAACAGGTCGTCGTTACGGGAGCGGTACCTGATCGGCGTGCGTTCGTGATGATGGAGTAGTGATGGAGAAGTTTTTTTTGTTTTTTTTTTTTTTTTTTTTTTTTTTTTTTTTTTTTTTTTTCGGTTGTGTCTTCTTGGTTCCTTTTTTGGGTTGTGTCTTCTTGGTTCCTTTGTATGCAAGGAGGGCATTCGGGGGACGGAAGGGAAAGGGACAATACTATGTATGTATGTAGGAACTAAGAGTGAAGAATGTTGACGGACGGGTACTGAGTAACTAAGTTCGAGGTGGGTGGGTTATGTGCTGGGAAGGGGAGAGGACTAGTTGTTAACGTATCGGTAGGTTATTAGTATTGCACAGTCGTACAAGGGGCGCGATTCAGTTGTCCATGTCAATCGATTAGTCTGGAGTGGAATCTTTGATTTAATGAGTACGGAGTTTGGAGTACCACACGGTGACTTGCAATTCCTTATCTATTGGTCCTTAGAAGACCCAAGCACAAACATAATCTACGTCATCGTTGAATGAGGCAGGGTGTAGACCAGACTCACCTTAGCTGGGGCTGGTTTAGCTGAGCTGGACTGGGCTGGGCTGGGCTACTGCGTAGTTGGGGGCGAATCACCGCGTACTGACTGTACCTAGAAATACTACACAAGGGGGAGGTTGGGGCTTTATTTCTAGAGGTAGTGTACGGAGTATGTTACGCTAGTTTCAGGGGCCGTTAGGTTGCAGCAGCAGCAGCAGCAGCTGTCACTGTCCCGATGTATGCGGTCGCAGAAATTCAGATCTGATCTACTCCAGAAACAAGATAATACTATTCTTGTTGCTGACAGCGTCATCGAGATACTGAGTCACTTTGACTTACCTCAAAGTCGGTGAGTATCAAGGAAAGGGTTCGACTATTGCTTCAGATGGTGGCTGATCGCCCTGCTCCCCCAGATCGGGGAATGGAGAGCCCTGATTTGGTGATGATCCTTTCGCCCCCCCCCCCTCCTCCACCTTCCCCGGGGCCATGGGCCATGGGCCTTTGGCCATTGCTACGGGGACATCCTCAGCTCACTCAGGTCAGGGCGATTCTGGCATGTAGGACGTATGTAGGAAGATATTTTTTTCCATATGTGCAGGATGGGAGTACTCCGTAGTGTGCAGTACAATTAATCGTGAGTCGAGGGAGATAGTAGTGCTGGAGCCTATTAGGGGTCTTCATTTCCTGAGTAATGTCCTTTCATTTACACAGCTGCGTCTTCTATACCAGGTCACATATCTCATCTATTCCGACTGGGTAGATCCAGGTGAAGATCGACAGGCACACTGCTCACACAGACACAGCCCCCAGCAACCCCGATGATGTCGAGGACGGGATCAACCTTCGGTTCAGTGCCTGGTGCCTGGTACCTGAATGAACCGGGGTTAAACATAGAAATGACGCAGTAAGACGGTTACTCCGTACAGCAACAGCAGCAACAATCGCCACAACATCAACAACCACTGGAGTACTAGTACAGACAGTACAAGCCACGCTACGCTAAGCAAGCAAGCAAGCAAGCAAGCACCGCAGCCAGCCCGCCAACGCATGGCATCCGCCTGGCCCCTCACCCCCTCTCCCCTCTCCCCTGGGGGCCATACCTATAGTACTCCGTATAGTACATACATCCGTCTAGAACAACAAAAGAAGGAAAAAGGGAAACAAAGGGAAACGGAAGGGGGCAGGGATAAAGTATGAATGGGGGCGGACCCGAACATATTTGGCGAGTCGAGTCAACAACCAGACTACTGTTGTTGTCCCAGGGAAAAAGGTCAAGCTAGTAACTCTACTCATCGGAGCAAAGAATGGAATGTGTCACATAGCGCGTAAATCCCTCCCCCCCCCCCCTCCATTAGCGGATTCTCTGTACTGCACAGGGGAGTGGACATATTGTACTCCGTACAGTGTACACAGAGAACAACTGTCACGGTGGATTTTTGTCTTACTTCCTTCCTTCTGTTCCTGCCTTTATCATTCCCTAGACTAAGTTACCTACCAGACTAAACGGTAAGCCTGCATTATTCTTGCATGTTGACACGGGCGAGCAATCAGCGAAAAACAAAAAGGAAAAAAAGGGCGACCGTTCAATTGCAACTCAGCCAGCTGTCTAAGTTCAAGTCTACTTTCTCTCCCCTTTTGAGCCAAAAAAAAAAAAAAAAAAAAAAAAAAAAACAGAAAGAAAAAAACAGGGCGAATTGGAGGTCAATTTCTGAATATATTATCTCCTCCACACCTCCCCCAAAGGGACACCCCCCACTGGCCGCTTCGTTCTTCATTCTCGATCCACGTAAAAAAAGAGATCTCTCTCCCTCCTTCCCCCTCCCTCCCTCTTCCTCTCTTTTCTTTTCTTCTCTCCATCTCGTCCCCGTTCCCCCGCCTAATGTTATAGAGAGTCAATTCCTCTTTTTTTCTTTTTCGTTTTCGTTGTCTTGTTTTCTGCTTCCGGCCGCCCTGTCCCTCGTTTAGAAACCAAGTTTCCTTATCTGTGTGGTCTTTTTTTTTTGTTTGTTTGTTGTGAATCTTGTATTCTTTTTTAATTTCCTTGTTCTTTGATTTTTCGTTGTTGGGAAACATTTGCTTGCTTGCATAGCATAGCCTCGCCTCGCCGCCTTACTACGGAGTGTTGCTCTCCACCTCAACCACAACAACCCGTCTCCGCCGGTCACTCGTTTGAATACTACATACAAACCACCCCCCGTTTTTAGAACACCACAACCACCACAAAAGCAAATCTCCTTTTTTGCTTGTTCGCTCGCTACTTGATTGTCCGGAAGGATTACTGGATTTGGATTTTTACCGCCTTTTAATCATCATCGTCGTCATCAGCTTCATCGACATCAGGAAAGCGCATCGCTTGCTCGACTCCCCTTCTTGTTGTATATCGACCGCGACAATCCCCAATTCGTTCATAACCCAACCATCCAACCACCAACCACAATCATTTACACAGACGTTCTTGCTTGCTAGCAAACCCTCACACTCATTTATCCCAAACAAATCCAACGAACACCTTCGAAGGGAAAGAAACAAGACACAACACAGGAAAAAAAAAAGAAACCATGGAGTGTTTTCGGCAGCTAGGTCGACTGATTAAGGCCCCGTTCAAGCGCGAGAAGCCGCAGCCGCGGGTGCTGGAGATTGTGAGTTTTGGAACATGCATTGCCGGGAAAGCTTATGCAAGATCCGAGTAACTGATAAGGGCGCTGCAGGGTCCCCCTACCAACTTTCGGAAGGAGGAAATGCCTTCGTTTTTCCCGGACGATGAGTAAGTTCCGACTCCTTGTTTCTTTCTGGAACGTCGGGGACTAACCTCTTGGTTTTGTAGTGCCGCGACTCTGCACAGTCGGGGATCGACCTTGGAAAAGGAAAAGGATATCGCCATCGCGGCCATCGAACGGCAACAGTCGACACGGGATAAGATCAAGACGCATGTTCGGCGATTGAGTCGGACAGCCGCGGCGCCAAGGCCGTTGGCGGAACAGGAGGAATGAACGTCCATACTTCCTCCTGAGAAACATCATCAACGACGATAGTGATGACGAAGACGACGACGACAACCCGCCTTCAATAAGGGGAAATTTTCGGTGCCCACCTAACTTCTTTGTCAACCGCCACACACACTCACGCTCAGACACGCCAGGGAGCATGCGCGCGCGCATGCGCCCGACACCATTAATAGCACATCAGCTCAGAGAAGGAAGGTTGGCACTTCGTTGAGACGCGATTTCTTCTTCGCCTTTGGATCAATGCCTCGTGGATTTTGCGGTGGAGGAGGAGGAGGAGGAGCTTCACTGGACGACGATGACGACAGGCGGGATTGGACCTGGACGTTCGACTGGGGCGGCGGCTCTGGAAGCTGGTCCCAGTCATCAAAGATTAATCTCCTCTTGGATTTATTAGCGGTTGGAGTCGGTGTACGATATGTAGTAGTGGCATTCATAGACTGCGCTTTTCTGGATTTTGGCTCGGCCGTAGATCCTTTGTAGGATGGAGACTTTGGTGAAGCATCCGAGCTCGTCGCGGAGTCGCGTTCCTCCGTTTGCAGCGGAGGGGAGCGTCGCGATCGTCGTCGCGGAGCTTTTTGAGGTTGGGGGGTGGTCTTCACATGCGCTTCGAGGTCATCGTCCTCATCGGATGCCGTTGTATCCTCCTCGTCGTGAACTTGGTGCACATCCTCCCTCCCATGTCTGCTGCCTCCCACACCCGGATGGCCCTGCCCTCCCCCAGACCTAGACCCAGACCCAGACCCCG